CCTTCGCACTTCTACTCGAAAGTTTATTTTTTATTTTTTTCATTTTTCATCATTTAATTTAATTTAACTTTTTTTCTTTCAGGTATGAGAAAATAGAAATGCCACATACATACAACAAACAAAAAATTATAATAAAATGCAAATAATAATAATAATAATAATAATGTATTACATGAATCATTAAAGAACTGGGGCGGTAATTGTGTCTGGTTCTGCACTAAACTGAAAAACTTTTAGAGCAATTTTGTGCCTCATTGCTTTAGCCAACTGATAGTTAGACTTCTTGAAACGCATCGTCCTCGTGAGCAATGTCCGTACCATCTCTACAGCGCATACACCACAAGAAATTTTATCATGTTGCAAGATAGTATTTTTGGGGTCCATGAATTCCAATTCGAACTTTTGGTTCATTCCCTCTACTTCCGCATACGTCGCAATCACTAGAATTAGATTTTGGATTTTTTGCAGTCCTTTGATGCGATTTTCGCGAATGTTCTCGTTCTTCTTTTCTAAATACGTATGCCGTAGAGAGTCAAACACACGTATCGTCCCCTTGTGTAAAGAGATCTGGACAGTCACGTAGTGGCCGGTCAAATTCACTACTTCAATAATCTGTTGCATTGAGTTGTGAGAAATTCACTAATTTTTTAGGAAAGATTGCAATATTAATTGATTCAGAATCATTGAAAACTTACATATTGAATCTCCCTCCAAGGACACGGATTCCCCCAACCGCTGACCCCCTCAGTCGCAATACGAATCAAAGAATTGAGGATCTCCGAGTCTGGGTCTAGTCCCCCCTTATTGATCTCCTTGTCCAAGTCCTCCAGCATCATCTATATAAAATAGAACATAATAGTAATAAATAATAATGTTATTAATATAATTATTAATAAAAATGAAATGACAAGGAAAAGAGAGAGGATTAAAATAATCTCACAAAAAACATAGTTGGCACGATGGTGTAAGTGCCCAACATATCTACCCGTGGCTGGAAATCCAAAAAGAGTGGATTGCTTTGCATAATCGCCAAGTATGCATCGACGTTCTGTTTTATAAAGTCAAACCAAACATCATCCACCAATTCATTTTTATATGTTAAGATATTACAAGACAAACATATACATACCTCGTTATACAACGTTTCATTCGGATTAACCAACAGCTGAAACCACTCCTTGTCCACCGCATATGAAATGCCGATATACCTCCTATTAAATAATATAATAGAAAGTTATTTTTTTTAAAATATAAACAATTAAAGATCTTTTGGATGTACTTACATTTCAATATT